TTTAGGGAGTTGTCAACCGCTCCATAAGTGGAAAAAAAAATATTGACCTAGGCTTCTTTTAGGAGTAATCAACCGCTCCGACCTAAGGCTTGTTTAACGAGTTGTCAGCCGCTCGGACCTAAGGCTTCTTACGAGTAGTCAGCCGCTCGGAAAGAAGTATCAGTTAGTACTTAAGAATGTAGGGTTAAGGTAAAGAAGACCATTAGGGTAGTCTTAGGTAAAGGTTAAAGTAAAGGCTTTAGTTGCCTTTAAAGAGGTTAAGTAAGGTAGAGCACTGGAGAAAAGTACTCTATAGAAAAATAGAGGTAAATTTTAAAGGTTAACGTCTTTTATAGACGTTGAGCAAGCTTAAGAGCTTTAGGGTAAACAAAAAAATATTAAATTTAGAGATGATGATTTGAGTGATAAATGAATGAATGCTTGTGAATGAATTAATGCGGTGAACGAGGTATGAGTTTTAGATTTTAATGTCTTTGATATGCTATTTAGCTTTAGAGCCATTGGTATCTTCTAATATATACACTAAAGGTGAGATTTTCTTAACTACTTTACTTTTTAGAAATTTAGGCGCGAGTTTAGCGCTAAAGTAAGAACCTGCATTACTTTGCACATAGTTCTTTCGCCAAACCATATCGCCAACATTAAATTCTTTGAATGAGCGACGTAGGTTATAGCGTGCACAGTTTTTAGCGTGAGCAAGGTATAAGATAGTTTGAACTTTGTCAAAAATAGATGAGAGGAATCCAGCATTTTCAGAGTAAATATCGCGAGGTAGAAAGGTAACTTCTTCGATACTTCGAGCTGAGGTATAAAAAGAGCCGCAGGGAATTGTTTCACGACCAAATACCAAAAAGTTAGGCGTATAACCAGTTATGGAGTTCACACAACTGTTCAACGCCTGTTGGATTTTAGGGAGGTGATTATCCCACTTCCTATGGTCATCACCTACGAGGGCAGCTAAAGCAGTAATAATTGTTCTGTTGTACCTTTCAGTGGGGTTTACTTGAGGACAATAGAATGGAGAATGAAGTATAAAAGGAATTTTATATTTCTTTAAGAAGGAAATGAATTTACGAGACTGGAATTGGGGTCCGTTGTCCATAATAATGGTCTGAGGGACACCATGTGTTAGAAAAACCGAGTTCTCGAGAGAAGAGATTATATTAGGCGTGGTAGCACGCTTAAGGGGAAAGATTAAAGTATATTTAGTAAAACAGCAGTTAATAACTAAGAAGTATTGATTACGATTTCTAGTCATGGGTAGTGGAAGCGACAAAATAAAAAGAAAGAAAACAGGTAGAAGTTATAAAATATATATATTTACAAGAATAAGATGATTTTACAGGTTAAAAAAAAGAATAGGGGTATGGTATGTGTGTGTAGTGTGGGGTGTGTGTAGTGTGGGGTGTGTGTAGTGTGGGGTGTGAAGTGGAAGTGGTGAAGTGGGCGTGGGTCGTCGGCAATCTTCAGGGGCGGCTTGAGCGGTAGGTCGTGCTACAGGCAGATGGACGGCGCTCCTTGGAGGCAGAAGCGCTCCTGTGCAGCCGTCTTAGTTCTTGGCCTGCCCTGGTAGTGGCTGGCGGCGCTGCTGGTGGTTTGGCCGGCTTATATCGGCCAGAGGCAGGCGTTGATGAAACGGCAGGAGTCGGTAGAAGGCGGGCTGAAGCAGTTGGAGGCTGGCCGAAGAAGCTGGAGTCCAGGCGCAGTCCCACCGATGAGGTTGCGAGTACGTGAAGAGTAGTAGAGTATTAGAGTTAGGAAGTTGTTTAGAGAGCCAATAGGTGTTAAAAAGCTTTGAGGTCTTTCTTGAGTCCCGGGGCAGCCGGCCCCGGGACAAGGCCTTTTATTAATTTAGAGCTCGGTAGCGAGCTTTCAAAAGTTGAGTAGGCAACTTTTGCCGTAGAATTGAATCAATGATCAGGGAGGCTCGGCCTTTTATAGGTCCGGAACCATTTGAATTTAGACATGGTTCGAATCGAGCCAAAAAGAATCAAAGTAGGTGGTCTGTGGAGGTTGAATAGTCATAGACGTAGTTGGAGAGAGTATCCGTGTCATGGGTAGTCATGGCAACGGATAAAAAACATTAGGTTGTCATAAATGTCAATAAAATAAATAAATTAAAAATAGATAAAATCAAAGCAAAATTAGTGAAAACAAGTAAATAACAGAATAAAGAGAAATGCCGGTAAGTGTCCAGCACTCTGGAATAGTGATTTTCAGTACAGAAGAAATTATTATACGTATTTACAAAATGATGAATAGTGTGTGATATTTTTGAAATTATGTGTTTCCAGGAATAAATAATAAAATATATGATGATGCCTGATGAATATCGATGATGTTATATGATAAAATGTGCGAAATGGAACCTATGATAATCGAAACCATGGGTCGAAACCATATTAAGGTACGTTACAAGGTGGGGGTTGAATATTATGTTGATTATTATTTTGGTTGATGTTTATGTGAAATAAAAGATTTAATAATAGCAAAAAACGGTTGTGATATTGATTTTAAAAAATACCATCGAGTAACACTGATGTTTTAATTGAAAAGTTTGTAAGTAATTTTTATTTGCAATTAAAACGTAATAGGGTGACATTGTTTTAATTTGTTGGAATGAGAGCTACTTTTTATTTAAATGTTGTTAATCTTCATGTAAAATGTATAAGTACAATTTTTTATTAGCCTATGATTTTGAATGCAATCATGTAGATTTAGGAGTAATAAATACAAATATTTAACTAGTTAGGTTTACTTTCAATTAAAGGCTGTGATTTTTTCAAATAAACGAAATATTAAAAGCCGTTTTTTATTTGACTGTACTTCCTCGACATAAAAAATTAAGATAGGAACTTAGATCATATTTATGGTCCCAACTTACCACTCAAAATAATCATTAAAGATAGGTGTCATTCGGGACCACTAGCTTCGGTCCCGAATGCCGCCTCAAAATAATTTATTAATTCCATGTCCCCGTCAGGACCAGTGGTCCCGGTCCCAAATGACTACCGGCTCGAATTTTAAACACTTTAAAATAATTACAATAGAAACAGCTTTTAAAGGTACCTAACTTTGAAAGCTTCAAATTTAAATGCTATTTCTATGAGTTAAATTGTTAACAAAACGTTTAGTCACGTTTCAGTATCAATATAACATGATTTGTGAACGTGTTTACGAGTCGGCGCGAAATAACTTACTCGTTTTACGACCATAATGAATTGCGGGAAACTATGATGAAAGCCGTTTACCTCCGCTCCGGCTTGGATAATAGTTAAATAGCAACATAACACGTTAAATTAGTAACTTATACTGCGGTGCTATTCTCTAATTAAGTTCGGAGAGTGCTTAGTAATGAACATACCCAATATACGATTTTTAGTTTACATATATTGCAATCCACGAAGACGCGCCCCACTATTCCTCCTAACCGTTTATAGTAAATGTGTGCTAGCTTCCGCCAATATTTGAGTGTTATCGGTATACACTAATTATCTATGATATTAATAAATATTAATATATTAATATGATAATTATTTTTTTATCACTAATTATCCTTCAACCAAAAATTGGTGGGGCGCAACTTCGTGGATTGCACTATCTGTAACTTCGAACTTTGGTTGTTGTCAAGTAAGTAATTTTTGTCGTCACATGTAGCAATTTAAGAGAGTTAGAATACAGCGGATTATCCGCTCGAATTGGAGCGCCCGTCTGGCGTAGTAACTCCACCTTACAGAAGACCGCAGTAAAATAACACTATCTTTTGGTGGTGTTGTGTTACTGTCAGTGAGTAAGGTTCCAGGGACCCACGGGGTAGAAAATTGGGCCAGGGTAAGCAACCACGCGAGTGATATTTTTGATATCGAAAGCGAAAGGTTATGGTCGCCGCTTATCATCAGGCGAACCATATGCTTGTTTGCTACCTTAAAACATCCCCATCTGATGTTAAGCTGCTGTAGCAGAAAAGTATATTACTCCAGTCATATAGCCTACCTCGTAAAGCTCTGGATCACAGACATAGTTTGAAGTATACACCGCATGTACTCAAGGGCTGATCCAGCTTTGGCGCCAGGGGGTGGTCATATAGTCGTGGTCAAGTCACAGTGGGTACAGATTGTGAACTACAGATTGTGAAGTGGGTACAGATGGACCCAGCCCAGGGGAGAGTCGTGACCCCCATGACCCCCCCCCCCCCTCCGGGATCCGTCCTTGTATGTACTTCAAATTGTATGGAAACCGAGCGACTCAGATTTGGAGTATACAAATAAGCGATGAAAAAGCATGGGTGCGGTCAAACGGTTGTCTTTACAGCTTATTATGACATAGTTAGATATTTTTTAAACATTACGATCGACGTCCGATACTGAGAACACGAACGGAAAGCGAAGAAATAATTTAGCGTTAAAGGAATACCATTCATCTTTCTTATAGCACGCGAAGTAAATATTTACACTAGCGTTATCTATTTCGATCTTTGTCTGTGCTCTGGGACCTTACTAACAAAACGCACCAAATAAGTATTATTATATTAAAGAAGCCTTTAATATAACTTTAAGGTAAGGTAGAGGTGATAGACAAGCGCTCCAATTCGTGCGAAAAACAATTAATTATGAAATACCTCTCTTATAAAAATAAACTGATCAATTCGAAGATTGACACCTTCGAATTACATCTACCTTACAGAAGTCTTTAAAATAATAACACTTATGTGTTAAAAATGTTAAATGTTATGTGTGTTTGTTAAAAAAGTATCTGTTATTTAGAAAACCAGGCAGGCTGTTTGGCGTGACTGGCTGTGGAGCGACTCTGCAGCACAGATGAATCTTTAAGGTTTTTGTGCTATAATTATGTTTTTAACGAAATTGAAAATAAAAAAAAAATGAGGCGTTTTGTTAGTTAGGTCCCGAGCACAGACAAAGATCGAAATACGTTGAAATACATTACGACGAAACATTGTAATCAAGGATGAATGCTTGAAGAATAGCTGTTATTTCACTCACCGCTCCGCTGTATACGTCCGAGGCGTAAAGTAGGTCAAATGGGAGAGCAGCCAGGAGATCCACCACAAACCATGTGCGGATGTAATTAAGAGCTATCGCCTTAGAATCATACACCACCTCGCCCTTCTTGCTGACGAATGTCGTCCGGAAATTAAGCACTATATCTAAAACAGAATAACAAACGTATACCGAATAACATACAGCTTTGTGGCATAATGAGAATTTATAAACTACAGAATGAGCAGATATGTAAAAGAAACTTTAAACGTGGTTACTGTGAAGAAATGTCGAAAGAGAATAGTAAGACATTATATTTGTTTGAATAACGTGTCTGCTGTAATGAAACGCATGTTACTAGGAACAGAGTATTGACAACGCTCCTAAAGATGGTTGATAGGAAAGACTGGAACTGGATACGATTCTTTGTACCCAGTTCAAGCCTTTCTTATATTTTAAGAAGAAGAAGAACCTGCTATTAATAGTGCTTAAATAATTAGCTTCAAGTTTTAAATCATCTCTGGTAGGTATCAAATATTTGTTGAAAATATTTTTTTTTCATTCCAATGCTAGTTTGAGAGCGAAAAAAATTTACAGTTTGCACCAATGTTAAAGTTGAGTTGTACTATTCAATACCTAAATGTACATTAGTACAGTACACCTAGCACGAACCAATATCGAATTCGAATAGTTTGCGGGTATGGAATGTCATTTTCAAAAAAGTGATACCTATATTGTTTTGAAAAGGCACATGACGTCACGTCATTGTACAATTTTTACTTAGAAGTCATGTCGCGAGCCCGCACTCCCCAGCTCTGACGCGCTTTGTCTTTATAATTTTATTTTACTAACAAAAAAGAACATTATTTTTGATAATGTGACTGCAGGACTTGAAAGAATTTCCTTTATTCTACCTCGTCAGCATCCCTATTATGTTACATATATGCTTGGTATTCCCTGTTCCTGATTAGACACGCGAGTGTATATCCGATCCGAACAAAGTTTTACTGTTGCTCCGCATAGTATTGACATAATCGTGTCAGGTCATAGAATTTCGTGTGTAGGAAGGCTGGATAATTCTATTTCTACACAGTTAGTAAAGATATCAAAAAGAATGCAACTACTTTAAAAAAAATACTTCGCCACTTGTCATCAAAACCTTTACTTACCAACAATAAAAAGAGCTTCGACTACCACATCGCTGGTCACGCTAATCCTCGGGTGACCCTCGTCAACAAAACTGGCATTGTAAGGTACAACTACGGCCACATAAAATGTCGCTATAAGAATAAGCCAGTCCCAGAACGTCTTGAAAACTCCATAATGCGATATAATAAAGCGTGATTTCTTCACCGCCGACGTCTTATATTCGGGCAGTGGGGGGTCCGAAGAGTGTAGAAGGTTCTGCAAAGTTGAACGGGTTAATAAATCAATGTTTCCAAAGGCCAGATTAAATTCAAACACATAGAAACGTTCATGCGAAAGGGTTAGTTTAAAACTAAAGTTGGAGAGACAAAGTTAATATCGTACCTATTTTCAAAACAAATTTCTACGATCTACTTACAAACGAAGGTTCGTGCATTACGCCGAAAGCTAAAAGGTCGAACGGTGGTAATTATTAAGTTTTTTTTAGTTGCCAAGGGCATTACGTGTTTTAGTGAGTTAAGCATCGAAGCGCTGTTTGCTGCAAACCATGTAAGTATTGTTTTAAAAGTATTAGATGAGTCATGGACATCATAAATGGTGAAATAAGAAGTAAACCTACAACAGTTAAATGATTTTTAAACATAGAAAATTCATAGGAAGAAATAGTTATTGTTAGTTTATGAATAATAATTACGTATTTAATAAATTAACTAATTAACAGTAGCACTCTCCCTAGAGATAGACCTTTTAATTTTTGGTGTACCGAACGTAACCTCCTACAAAAGGGCCTACCGAATGTATATTATAGAGGTTTACCTTACTAACATTGTTGAGTTTTAGTTTAGTCTTCATCTTATCTGGCTTATAATGTCCTGAAAGCTGGTATAGTACTGCCCTTGAGCGCCGCCTGCCCATGTTAGCGGGCGAGGGCGCTTCGGGGTCAAGATTTCCATTCGGGTCTGGAAGTAGGCAACTAGATTCAGCGCGGAACCGGGCACCCAAGAGAGCCGCTGCGGGTACAAATGGGGATAACGCTAGAGTGACCACGCCAGCCGACGGCCGCACCGCGGCTCCTGCACGCACAAACCACCCTGTTACCATCTCGATGCGTTACAAAACATTAGGTATCTACAACATTCTAGATTTACAGTGAACGAGAACAATGATAACGAGACTCCCTTAATGTGCGTGAGAATATGAAAATAGAATTGCACGAAAAATGGTAGATAAGAAATGCAAAATAGGTACATTATAAGGACAGTCTTAGGAAAATCAAAATTACATAAGTAATAAAAAGGTTTAGAGGAAGTCTCAGTTTTAAAAGTTAAAAAAGGTTTTTTGACATCATGATTCAAGACATAGGTACTTAATGTTGGAATGTTTTCTAGTTATAATTTATAAAGAAAAATAATTTTAATCAGTTTTTTTGTCAGACTAATTAATGTTTTGCTAAACCTTGATGTCAATCATAAAAATGTCGCCAGTAAAGCTAAAATAAAGAGACAACGCTAACTTTTATAACCATCGCATAACACTAACATTACTTTCCTATTGAAAAGTAAGAAGATTGTTATTCGAACCTAAATATTACATGAACGTATGAAATAATATAATATCTGGTACAAACACGATATCGCATAAAAACATACACAAACTAAAGACTTCAATGAAATCAGAAGGAATTTATGTTACCTATACATACATATACTTAACTTTGTGAATCTTAATTTAATAAAAAATACATAAAAGAAATGTTTTAACTACTTAGAAAATTACAAAGATACAAGAGCTGGACAATCAATCAGAATGTCATGCACGTTTATATTTATTAAGGGAAGATAATTAATAAAGTTATGCTTTATTTTTATTAGAATTATTTTTTTAAATCATCTTTTCAAACAATCTGAAACGGTTTAACAGTACTATATTTAATAAGTGAAATGCAAGATCATAAGTAATATTTTCTAAAATAACAATTATAATGGTAACTTATTAACATTCTAATAAAATATAAAATGTTTTACAATGCCAAGCTCCAAATCAGTGCTCACATTAGCATTCAATATATAATATCAATGAATTGACAAAAGATATGTTAAAAAACTTTAAAATGTTTTGCATCAATAAATGAATTTGTAAGATTATTAATTAAGAGCTTAGCACTTCAGTGTGATATATAAGTAGGAACAAGGAAATACATAACATGCAGGAGTATGTTGTAACCTAATTACGCATATAAATTAAAAGAAAAGTTATGTACATACATATTATTGCCACAGAGATGTAACTGTAGCTACGTATATAGCAGCCAACCAAATGGAAATGTCTGCGGGTACTGGCGACACATATTCAGAGTATCAAAAAAGATAATTATGCTCGAAAAAGACAGGGTGGTTTTTTATTTTTATAAAAGAGAAACATTTCTTTATTTTTATATAATTTGTAAGTGTACTAGTGTCGCGATTATATTTTGTAAAATTCGATAATTTCTTACGTTATTAAATAGCTGATGCATTAAAATGTACAACATCTACAATCATCTTGCTTATTATTATTAGCGTTCAAACAATTTTAAAGAGTGAATTATAAATGCGCAGGCTTGTGCTATGGCTTGCATAGATTTCTATGAAACTCATTATGAACTGCAGTCTGTTTCATAGAAATCTTTACAAATTAACTTTCTGGTTTGTATGGATTTGAAACTGGCAAAAAATTGTATTCACTCAATGTGACCTTATTGACCAACGAAATAACGAAAATTGTTAGAAATATTCCAAAGAATTATCAAAGTTTCTTTGAAATTTAAATGTGGTTAGTTTGTTATTAAATCTCGTACATGCATGTTCGGTGCTCAACTCATAGTTCACAGTGGATTGTTTGTTAGATGTGACGAGTTTATAAGTGAAGTAGAGGAAACATGTCTAGATTACGTATTTCTACCGAAACTAATAAGTGCCTACATACGAACTAATTAAAATCAATTCTACTATCTCAATACAAAAGGTCGTAAAGGAACTTTACCGTGCGGTGATTCTTGTTACTCGCTACGGCCAATCGGGAGCTACGGGAGCTCAATCTAACGCTATCAACCTTACACAGGTACCTATAGCGCTAAAATAACGTGCTTATAAATAACAAGTTATCATAAATGCACAACCCTAAAAATGAAATTCCTCGAAGCAAGGCCACGGAATGACGAAGTACTCATATTCATCTTTGTCTTGGCTTGCATTTTACTTTACAAATATCTCAAGTGACAATTGAAAAATGGTGCTTACCGCTGTCAAAGTCCTCGTTAGTGTTCATGGCGGCCATCTTGGTGTTGGTGATGTCCTTGAAGGAAGCGAGGAACAATACCACTTCTCGCTTCTCATTTTTAATTGGAACGATGTCGAGCAAGCACCAGAATGGAGTACCTGGACAACGATTTAATCTATGTTAATGTATTGGTGGCAACCAACCTAAGTGCTATTGCGTGATTCAGCATACATATTTTGACGGAGCAGCACTGATTATGAATAATTAACTGCCAATTTGTCTTTGAAATAAAAATAGTTCTTTTAGAGAAGTTTTGATTTCATGGCTTTTATTATTCCTATTTATGTTGTACTTACGTATGTTTACACGTTTTTTTAAGTAACATCTATAATATACCTTTATGAAACTTAAAACAAAATTATAGATAAACAGCCTTTTAAAAAAATTATAAATAAACAGCCTTTTAAAAAAATTATAGATAAACAGTATCTTTTTTTTACGTAAACTCAAAAGTTTCATTTTTTTCACAGCGTAAACTTGAGTACCTAGATGGTTTAAATTTTAGAAACACTGGACTGCAAAGAAATCGGGTCACTTGTTACATCGGAACTCTGATTCGATTTTCTCAAAAAATAATAAAACTTACTGCTATCTAAGTTACACCCAACGAAAGTGCATTTCCTGATGATTATAATGAACAGGAATTTATTGAGATTAAGTAATCAATTTTTTAAGTTTTTATTAAGAGTTTTCCAAAGAAGAGTCGTTTTCCAATTGTGTTAATCGGTAAAAACGTAACAGGAGAACACACGTCTGAGAAAACTATGGACAAAAGCTAAAGAAATGATAAGAATTTTATAAAAATTACGTTAATCGCAACTTTATACAGCAAACACACACGGTAAGTTGACAATACTTTAGAATAAAAATTTACTTATTTTAATAATCATGAAAAGCACTTTCTGCAGGTAAAGCTTTTATAGCGAAACGTCAATAAATAAAAAAAGTTCGTGCAGTTAAAACTAGTTTTATTTTAGCTTTTATCGTTGTTAGTTTTATAATTTTTGAGAAAATCGGATCAGAGTTCTAAGGTACTGGTGACCCATTTTCTTTGTGTTGAGCGTACATGTTACAGTTAATATCCGTTTTTATATATATCTCTACGCGTTCCCAAGATAAAGGTTTTGACAGACAGACGAACAACAAAGTGATCCTATAATGGTTCTCTATTTTTCTTTTCGAGATAAGGAACCCTAAAAAAAACACATCTAAAATCAAACTCAAACAATAACTTATTAAAACCTACTATTCGGTAAATGAATTTATGAATGATTAATGAAAGTGTCACGGAAAGCTCGCTTGTTGGGTTTTTTAACACTATTGACTTATGTAGATTTGACTTAAGTTGATGTTAAATAAAACAAGTTTCAACGGTATAGATGCACTGATTTATTTATTTATTGACGCTTCGCATCCTGAAAAATGAGTGGTGTGCGTGAAAACCTAAAAAGAAATAAATTATATAGATGTTTCAGATTAAAGTGAAGCTTGTTATAGGTAGGTATTAAAGATCCAGTTCTGTACATATGCAATAAATAATTAAATAAATAATTATTCTTTCGAGAATAATATTGTACAGGTAAATGATGCCGAGCTTTACGATATGAACGTTTCTATTTGAAGGAGAGAGACCTAAGTCTGTTTATTTTGTATTTTATTTAACTGACTTCGAAAAGGAGAAGGTTCTCAATTCATTAGTATATTTCTGATAACGGACCCAGCGCCGATTGGTGGGTGATAACGGACCCAGTGCGGATTGACGGATGATAACGGACCCAGTGCCGATTGGTGGGTGATAACGGACCCAGCGCGGATTGGTGTTTTTTTTTCTATCAAAAATCTTCAGGATAAGTTTATGATTTTCAGACCATTGGAGCTAAAGAAGTTTCATTTCAGTCGTGTGGTCATAAGCACACTTGTTTTTTTTTGTTTGTCCCATATTAATTTGGTGAAGGTCTGATCAGCGCTTTTGGAGAAAACAATGTTCGGTTATTATAAAAGAGATGAAAGAGATAATTCGGGCCGGTTCCTATATGTTAGTTTATGTAACTCTGGCTTAGAAAAAGTAGAAAATAAAAAGTTTTTTTTAACAAGAGTAAAACCGGTTAAATTAAAACAAAACCATTAAAAAGTAAGAAAAAATACATTAGGTATATTCTTTACTTATATCTAAACTAATTTAAAATCAAATTAACATTTGGAATCGGTGCCATGCATGTTGATTCATCTGAGTTACCATTTACTGCTTATGAAATCGGTTTTTATTTTGTTAAAAATGTTTCATTAATTTCAACTGTTCCGAATGTTTTCTTGTGAGCTAATGGCCCAATGGCGAAGTGGCAATGGTCCCTGGCAGTTAAAGACCAGTGATGGCGAACAGCTGTGTGCTTGTAAAAATTTAATTCTGTCCAAAGGAATCGTAAACCTCTTATTGGTTTTTTGTTTACAGCTGCAACGAGGACGGTGTTTGGTAAGCGGTCGGAATGACCGTATACATTCATTGTGAAACAAATGCAGATCTGATTTGAAAAACTATTTTTTTAAGTTATATTTGTCACTATAGTTTCCGGAGATTCTTCATCATCACAGTGTATTAATGGGGAAAATAACTAACTAATATAAGAGGGTACTAACGACTACAGATGCAGCTGGGACCAACGGTTTGACGTGCCTTCTGAAGCACAGAGGAGCTCCAAATAATAAGTTTTTGGCCACCCATTCAATGACCGACCATTGGTAAAGTTAATCATGGATGATCGCAGGCCGAACGCGCTAATAACCTGTGCCATCGAGCTCCGTCTCCCGGAGACCTAATTACGTTGAGCGTAGACTTTAATTCTCACGTTGCACTCTTGATGTTTTACTGTAAGGGATATGGTGTCTTGAATTCATATGCCTATGCTTGCTTTAATGCTCTAGCGTTGGGACATTAATAGACTGATGATGGTGCTGATGAGTTGGTTACAAATTGAGTTTTACATATTGTCCACAAAAAATATTATCATCATTGAAAAAAAACTTTAGGACGTGAAAGTGCTCACAAAAATAGTAAACCTTTATCTATATTTGTGTAGTTGGTAATATTATTACTAGGAAATTTGCAATATCGGTGCTGAGATCTTTTTGCCAATATTTTTACACTTGTTAACTGTAGTCTAATTACACAAAAAGTCACGTAATGGAATTAGAGTTTCGTATAACAAAATCTTTAGGCAATTAGTTAATGGGTTACACGCGGTATTGTAGTGCCTCTAAAATGTTTACACAGGTACGCGTTAAATCATTCTATTCTATTTTAGTTTAATTTGACATATTATGTGTTTTGAATGTAATTGTATTATTTATTTTTATTTAATTTTGCTTTGCATTTATTAATTTTGATATGGATCCCTTGTCCGAAATAAATGTTTTTTTTACGAATTATGTCTCATAATCATAAAAAATTGCGTCTATATCGCGGGACCACTGTCTTAATTTTATTATTTCATATCATGTATGATATTTAGTACCGATTATTTATTACTAATATAATGTAAGCTAGGTAGCATAGTTTCTGCCTACATACAAGGCATCAAACTCAAAATAACAATACGTGTTTTGTATAAAACAAAAAACCTTATATGTATCAACAAAATTGTAGCATTATTCAATTTACGCTACAAAGAAAGAAGGTTCACATTATTCACATAACAGAAAATCATTTTCGGGTCTACTCATTTTAAATATTGACATTCCTTCGTCTTAATAATAATAATTATAATTCATTGTCTTTTTTACATGGTAACAGATATTTAAACAATATTTCATTAAAAATAAGACACTAAGGCTCAGCCAATGTTGGTAAAACCTGGGCCTGAACCAACGCTGTTTTTCAGCCACTGTTGAGTAGCAACAAAATAAAACTAGATAGGAAGGAAGGAAAAATCAAAAGAACAGTATAGGAATATATATTTACAAGATAAAGTAGTATTTACAGATTATTAAAAAAAAATATGGAATGTGTGTGTAGTGTGGGTTGTGAAGTGGGCGTGGGTCGTCGGCGATCTTCAGGGGCGGCTTGAACGGTAGGGCGTGGGTCGTCGGCGATCTTCAGGGGCGGCTTGAACGGTAGGTCGTGCTACAGGTAGATGGACGGCGCTCCTTGGAGGCAGAAGCGCTCCTGTGCAGCCGTCTTAGTTCTTGGCCTCCCCTGGTGGTTGCTGGCGGCGCTGCTGGTAGTTTGGCCGGCGTATATCGGCCAGAGGCGGGCGTTGAAGAAACGGCAGGAGTCGGTAGAAGGCGGGCTGAAGCAGCTGGAGGCTGGCCGAAGAAACTGGAGTCCAGGCGCAGTCCCACCGATGAGGTTGCGAGAACGTGTATAGTAGTATAGTATTGGAGTTAGGAAGTTGTTTAAAGAGCCAATAGGTGCTAAAAAGCTTTGAGGTCTTTCTTAAGTCCCGGGGCAGTCGGCCCCGGGACAAGGCCTTTTATTAATTTAGAGCTCGGTAGCGAGCTTTCAAAAGTTGAGTAGGCAACTTTTGCCGTAGAATTGAATCAATGATCAGGGAGGCTCGGCCTTTTATAGGTCCGGAACCATTTGAATTTAGACACGGTTCGAATCGAGCCAAAAAGAATCAAAGTAAGTGGTCTGTGGAGGTTGAATAGTCATAGACGTAGTTGGAGAGAGTATCCGTGTCATGGGTAGCCATGGCAACGGATAAAAAACATTAGGATGTCATAAAATGTCAATAAAATAAATAAATTAAAAATAGATAAAATCAAAGCATAATTAGTGAAAACAAGTAAATAACAGAATAAAGAGAAATGCCGGTAAGTGTCCAGCACTCTGGAATAGTGATTTTCAGTACAGAAGAAATTATTATACGTATTTACAAAGTGATGAATAGTGTGTGATATTTTTGAAATTATGTGTTTCCAGGAATAAATGATAAAATATATGATGATGCCTGATGAATATCGATGATGTTATATGATAAAATGTGCGAAATGGAACCTATGATAATCGAAACCATGAGTCGAAACCATATTAAGGTACGTTACATTTTCCCCCACGACCCCAGAAAATTTTCGACTAGAGAAAATTTTGCTTAAAGAAAAG